ATTGCTGCCAGAAAATGCTGGAAACAAAGAGAATGTGCCCCAGGCTTAATCTGTTTGTGGAATCTTCAGAGACCCGCAGCTGGAGATCAGTATTGTCCACAGTCACCATATTTAATAAATACAGTGAGTGCTACATTTTCTTTCCTTGTAAGCTGCCTTGGAAGGCCAACGTTAAGGGGAAAGAATAAATATTAATTCAAGCATGTGAATAGATGAAGAATAAGGAGGTGGAAAAACGCAACATTCTGTTTTTCTTTCCACTATTTTTTCTCTGTTCCCCTCAAAAAGGTTGATAAAAGGACAGTACATAGAATGTATGCTGTTGCTAACATTATTTTTTAAAGAACTTTAGATAACAGAAATTATTATCTTAACCAGCATCTGGAAACCCAGGATGGGAAAAGCTACTTTGCACTTCAACTTCTTGCTTGATGTTCTCCAGAAATACTTCATCTATAGACACCTACTAGGATTCCTATTATCCACACCATCAGTACAGCATTTGATTCTGTCAGTTCTGAATGGTTAATGGGACCATCACTCTTTGGAAGGGAGACGGGGATGAGTTTTCTGAGTCTGAGGAATGCGAACTTGAGCCATGACACATCACTGTACACCTTAATGGTACTCAAAGAGTGAGATATTGTACTTTAGTGCTCCAAAGGAAATAAAAAACAAAAAAAGTGAACTATAAGCTTATAAGTGTCTTTCAAGAAATGGCATGATAACAATATTTTCGCAGGCAACATAACCTAGAAGTCCTGAACTTATTTAGCACAATAGCTCTTTCTCTGACATGAAAAAAAGTCCACATGTTGCAATTCTTCTTTTTCACTTTTCTCCCAAATAGCCAGAAGGAAACCTAATAATGGGTCAGTGACAGTGATTCCCAAAATATGCTTACTTATGGGATTTTGAGAGTACAGTACTATTCACTTCCCATGAGCAGTGGCAATGAATTAAATAATTATGGTTCCAGAATAATTCCAGGTGTGCCCTATTCCAACCAGTTCTCCTCTGAACAACCAGCTGTGTGTCTGCCCTGAAAGAAAATGAACAATCCAGTTGCACTCAGGGGAGACAAAAGGAAGTCCTACACATTGAGAGTCATTGTTCTGGGTGTGATACTTTGCAATCTCTTCAAATACAGAAGATCCATTCAGTATTAATCAATGAAAACACTGTCCCTCAGCTATCCAAAATGTGAGAAACATTAACTTATAAATCTGATTTTATACAAGCAGATAATTCTATTGGGTCAAATCTTTTAGCACTGGATTTTTTTGCATAAATCTGAAAGAATCATTCAGATTTCCTACTAACAAGCTGGGATTTTACTCGCTTCATCTTCTTAAGTTTCTATCAGATGCTCACAGCAGACATTTTAGTCAGTGGCCCAGCAAAGATGATAAATGGCCCACAGTGATATGCATCATGTCAAGGATACAAAATGAATAACAGACTCGGTGAGGGCATGAACCTGGTGTGTGGAAATATGCCTGAAAGATGAGTTGCTCATTTAAACAACAACAGTTGAGGAAAATGTTGCCTATCTGGTTCACCAGGCTACTCTGCAGCCTGACTGGAAATCTAGCTGCAAGGTCTGCGGTATGCAAAACACAGCATCCAACAATCCAGCATGACAGGCATTTCTGCTCGAGAGATGCTCATAATTAGAGAGTTGTATTAAGAGGGGAAAGGTCCTCTGTAACACCACCTTTAATGTCCAGCCTAATCCTTTATCTGTGCTTACCAGGTTGGACTACTGTAATATGTTCTGCATGGGGCTGCCTTTAGAAAGTATTTGGAAACTTTAGTAGGTCCAAAATGCTCCAATCAGAGTGTTAACTGGGATTTGGTAAAAGGGATCACAGAACCCTGCTGATCCTTTTATGAGCCAGTGCAGGTGATAAGATAATCAAGGGATTCTCCTCTCTCGGTCCCACCACCTTCACAGGTGGGGACACAGGAGAAGGGCTTCTCCACTGCTGCTCTCGTACTTTTGAACTCCATCCCATGGGAGGTCAAAGTGGCCAAATCTTTGCTGTTGATCTGCAAGCAGGTGAAGATCTTTCTCTTCAAACAGGCTTTCCCTTAGTGACTGGCGGAGAGAGATTTTAGATGAATTGTTGTGCCTTTGTAGCTTTGTACTTGCTTTTGGTGTTGATTTTGTTTAGCATTTTAGTTTTCTTTTATTCTTTTGTAATATTTGTATATCTACTGGTCTAAGCTTTTAAATATTGTCTTCTACTGAAGTAAGTTGCCTTGAACATGGTAAAAATATTTTAAATAAATAAATATCTTCTCATCACAGCATCAGATGTATGAGTTTTCTCCTAATTAGTCACACAGCAAATCTTAATTATACCTGACATTAGTCATCTACTTTCAACCACAGGTTCCCAAGAAATCCTCCTATGTCACATTACAGAAATGGGTTTTAAAATAAGAAGGTATCTCATTTATGAAAGACGCCTATTCCTGGAACCTTCCAGCTAGTGCAAATGTGACATATTTGCTCTTGATCAGGAATAAGGGACAGAGACCTAGCAGTCCTCCTGCCTAGTACAGCAGTCCTCCTGCTACATGTCCACAAGAGGTAGGAAAACTCAGGCTGTTTATGGGCAGGAACTATCCCTTAAATAGGAAGGCAAGCAGTTATAACGAGCAATCAGTTTCTACTTAACCAAGAGAGGTCTACTGCTGGAACAGCTCAGTAGATTAGGTGTCTGGCTGTGGAGGCAAAGGCTGGGAGTTCGATTCCCCACTGGGCCTCCTTGACTGGGGCTGGACTCGGTGATGCAGAGGGTCCCTTCCAGTGCAGTTCTGAGATTATCACAGTGTCAAACAGCAGAAAAAACATACCAGCCCGTTTTGGACAAACCCTATCTGAACAAGCCAAGTAGACACAAGACCTTTCCACTTTTCTTCCTGCATCACCGTTCCATTTTCTAATGAATAGGGAAACAAACCATGAAATCAATTTTATTTCCTCATAATCTGCCATGGTTTCATATCTGGTTTGTTTATATGCCATTAACCATAGTTATCTAGCTCGGAGACAGAGGAAACTATGGTTTACTATGACTTCTTTTCAAATGTGTACAAAAGGTTGAGGGGACTGAAGCTAGAGCAAAGGGTTTCATGCAAGCACAGAAGACACATGCATATCCTGGCAAGAGCTTGGAAGTACAGTTTACGAGTAAAATAGTTACTTGTAACCACTGTACGAAGTGCAATATTTACACAGTAATGAGTAATGTAACTAGTAGTTATAAAGTTACTTCTTTGGTATAACTAATAATACCTCAGTTACTTATTTACATTAGTCATCTTATTCAGTAAACTTGGTTATCCATCTTAAATGACAAAGGAAGTATATTTTTTAAAAATAATTTTTTCCAAGGTACAATATCAGAATTTGCCAGCTGGGGCATAAGATAATATGCCTCTGTATTTTTCTTGCCTGTTGATAACAACACTGTGCTGCATTAATAACACGCAATGCTACAATTGCTTACATAAATGGAATGGTAACAGAAATGGCAACTTGATAAAATAATGAGAAATGCAATTGAAAATTTAAAGATCCAAGTTCTGGCCTATTGAACCATGAGTTGATTGTCTAAAAGAGTAATCAAATTTCCAAAGTTTTATATATTAACTGAAGTTAAGAAACTTTCATTTTAATATAAGCAGCACCACGGCATTTATCCAGGTATTAATTATAGCAAAAGTCTATAGGCTAAGACAGTGGTTTCAACATGAGAGGAAACATGAGACCTTCCAAATGCTGTTGGAATACAACTGCCATATTTGTCCATGCTGACTGGGACTGATGGGAATCGGAGTCTAGAGGACCATATGCTGCTCAGCTCTGCCTTAAAGAACAGCCATAAACAGAATATTTACCAATTACAGTATGTTCATCAAAATCATAACACCACATATATATATATAAACATTGATACACATTTCAAGCACCAAGTAAATATTGCCAGTTACTCCAGAAACTGTGAAAAGGGTTGGGGCTTCTTGTGATTGAGACTGATTCTTCACTATAAACAGACCCATCTCTGTCTCCCTTCCCAGTCCCGTCCCTGTTTACCTTTTACCAAAATTCTTGGTTAACATCTGCTATTTTAGCTCTGATGTGCAGATGGGATACCTACAGAAGCATGAACGCAGCTGACGTGAGCTGTTTCTCAGAATATTGAAATGGTTTTGATCCAATTTTAAAAAGAGTTCTTGTTCTCCATCTTTGCTTTAAACCACCATCTTAGCCTTTAGACTTATTTTGTAGAAAGCTGGATTGAATTTGCACCATTTTTTGTAAAACACACAATTCAGCCACCTCCATTATGATACGTTCATATTATGCTTACAATTTTTGTAGACAACTGGTTTTCTGTTTACAAGGATGAATCTACAAGGATTAACACAAATGCAAATTGGAACTACATTCATTTGCAGGCAGATTAATTATTTTCCCTGAACCCCAATGTTAAAAACAAAACCATTCAAAAAGGTTCCTTCCATGTATATTGTTTTTCTTACTTAAGACTGCAAGTCTGAACTTTCATATTTCTGCTCAAGAAGTACAGAAGGATAAACCACATCTGGGTACTCTCCAGCTGGAAAATTCTGAAAAGGGTCGGCATAAGTTAGAATTGACTTGCTGGCGCATTATAAGGATGATGAATACTGGGTTGGATCCAGACTTAGTCATAAAATCAGTTGACTTTAAGGTAGTCATGATGAACTTGCAGACAACTGGCTTTCTGTTTACAAAAACGGTTTGCCAGTTCTAAGCATAATGAAATCTGGATCCAACCCACTATTCATTATGTCACACTAATTTTTAAGGAAAGAAATTGTCTTTTACTAATCAACTTTCACTGATAAACTTGAGTTGTGAACCCAACAAAAGTCTTTTTCAGGGCAGAGGTCACAACCTCAGGGCATATCAGTAAGGTACATGTCAGGGTTGGGTGACATACCTAAAAAATCCTTTGCAGCCTTCACATGTCATAGCGTTAAAATGAAATCCGGTAGCTTTGTCTCCACAAACACCACAGATACGGGGAATGTTCCTGTCAAACTCGCTGCTGACTGGATCGGTAAAGGATGGACAAGGTGCCATTTGTTCCATTTCTATAACAAGAGGAAGTACAGAAGTTAGCCACTTCATCACAACACTTTGAATAAAGTTACAAGCTAAGGGCACAAAGTAAAGCAAGCTCAGCAAAAGACCAGCAAAAATTCACATGCCCCAATATTGAACTCCTTACATTCACTTACTGGAACACAATAATTTTTTTAAAATTTCCAGTGGAATGAAACCACACTCTGCAACTACAGTGGGGTCTTGACTTAAGAACGGCTTGAGTTAAGAACATTTTGACTTAAGAACCGCTCTCATAGGAAAATATTGACTTGACTTAAGTACTTAGATTTGAGTTAAGAACTGAAAAAAAACCACGTGGGAGGCAGGGAAAGTGCAAAATTTGAACTTTCAGTTAACTGTTGGCCAGTGAAAAGGGTGCCTGTCTGCTTCCTCCCTCCTCCCAGCGTTTAGAGAGTGGATTGGGAGACAGGCTTCAGACTGCCTGGTACTATACTGCCTGGACTGTATTTTCCCTGCCTTCCCTGAACCTTTCTTGACCTAAGAAAAAAAAAAGAAACAAAATATCCCCCTCTAGTGGTCGAAGGCAGAATAGCAGCTTCCCATTAGTTTCTATGGACGGAAAAGAGCAGATGCGGATCAAATGGTTTTCAATGCATTCCTATGGGAAATGCAGATTTGACTTGAGAACTTTTTGACTTGAGAACCGCCTTCCAATATGGATTAAGTTCTCAAGTCAAGACCCCACTGTAATTTTGCTTTGATTTCTAGACAGATGAGTGAGTTACAGGAAGCAAACACTGCAACTAATACCAAGATATTTCCATCCTTCCCCACTCCCTGTCTCAAAAAATAAAAGAAAATAAAACAAAACTGCCACCATGGGAGAAGAATGTGTAATTCAAAGAGAGACAGAATAGTATTTTAAGCTTATTTTTACACCATGTCACCTCATGTAAAAGTATGAGCAGAATAACACAGTAACACTCAGAGCTGTCTTTTAATTTTATTTTTGCAGAGGTCCCTAACTGAAATTGCATGTGGACTTTTAAAATTAAATTTTATTATAGCAAATACCATCTGATTTGTCCCAGTAGCTTCAAATTAATTGCACAAAACAATGGCTACCAAGATCTAAATAATGCTAAGCATATGTTCACTTTTTTCTTTATAAGTACATAGGGAAGCTGTTCAGATCTTGTGTTTTTAATGAAAATTGAAAATTAATAGGGCAATACTAACTTGAAGATACCCTAGTAAACAAGATTAAGAACAGGAGATGCTGCCTCTGTGGGCAGAAATGCCCTTGTTTTGGCTGAACCTTCTTTTGCTGGCTAAGCAACACACTTTTACTGACTGATCTCAGCAATCTGCCAACAGAAATACATCCCTTGGATTCAATCTGCCAGCAAAAAGAAGGTGGAGGAGGGGGTGGGGCAAGAAAAAAGCTAGGTTACTCAAAATCCAAACCTTGTCCAGTCCAGGGAGCAAACCATAATGTTTTCTGAAAATAAGGCCTCAGTGAGGTTGGCTGTAAGGACTTTCTTAGACCTCTGGGTCAGTAGGGGTTTGGCCTCACACTGTTTCATCTGGCCCACTGTGAGTTTAGTCAGCCCCTGGCCACCTTGGTTAATTGGGAATATGTTCTTAGGAACAGGAACCTAGAACACTTTTGAGAGGTCAGGTTTCTGCAGGCACCCAAGAGCCCTACCACTATATTGCTAAGTCAGCAAACTCCCTTGGCTACAATACACAGGTAATGTAGCTCTGCTGGTCAAACTGTACATGCCAGCAAGGCTGGGATTCAAGCAACCTTAGACAACGATAGCACCATTTATTTCAGCCCAAGTCTCTCCCAATTAGCTAAAAAGCAAAGGAAGATTCCGATGTATACTGCACATGGGAGGTAATATTACCTCTATAAATCTCTATTCCGCATGCATTTTCCCAGCTGGCTTCAATCTGAGCTTTACAGCTCTATGAAGCAGACAAATTCTTGGAAGATGGACTAGGAGAAGATGAGTCCTCTGATTAGCTATATTTCAGTCTAACCAAGAGCTTCCACTCTCAGTTTTATAAATGGCTGGGACAAATGGGCATGCGGCTGTTACATGCAGTATGAACCTTAGGAAAGAAGAATCTAGTTGCAGACATGTATGTATATGAGGTACTATATCACTATTTGAAACCAATCTTATTACTTCTACTTCACTAAATCCAGAAGCCAATTGGTCTTACTGAGAGCCTCTAAAATCAATTGGTTGTTGTGGGTTTTCCGGGTTGTTGTCTGCAACCAACTTTAAAAACAGAACAACGAAAGAAGATTCATTTGCTTCATGCATCAACTCTTCTATTTTCCACTTAACTGAAAATTTAGAATTATATTTTTTAATGGACTTAACTCAAGTCGTCTGCATGGAAGGCAAACCCTGATTCTCTGTCCTATTGGAAGTGCACTTATTAGTTACTATGTTAACTGAATTTCTTCATTTGTACTAATCAGTGATGAGTTGCTAACCTTTGAATGTCAGTTTCCATTTAAAACTTAAACCTGAAATCTGAAACCAACATCAACAAGCAATTCACACAGAACTGCCTTGCCTGTTTCATGAATGAAACCTCAGAGGTGTCCTGCTGGGAGGAAGTTTCTCAGCTATGGAGTTTGCAAACAAAGGGGACTTTCTGAAAGTACTGTTTATCATTTTTGCTTTTACTATTCCCCACACAACAAAATTTCTACCTAATGGGACTGTGTCACAGAGCACTTTATTAACTGGGCGAAAGTGATCTGAAATAGTGTGATGTTATTAAAAACCATTGTTTAATAAATGGAAGATAAGATATAAGGTCTTAAGAGGCACGTCTGTTTGTCTAAACTATAATGTTTCCATTCAGATGCCTGGCCCTAGATCAACAAGAGCTATAAAGCTAAAATATTTGCTCAGAGCTCCTTTGCTAATACGTTGGAATTTTTAGCTCATCAGGTTTGATTAAACCTTTCCAAAAACTGATATGAAATGCAGGAGTCAATAACACCTACAGAAGCAGCAAACTGCAAAGAATAAGAGAAGGGGGACATCTTAACAGATTAGCATCTTGCTAGTGTAGAAGACACATAATCATGTAAGAATATTAGATAGTCTTGCAGGCAATTAATTGTCTATGAGAGAAAGGAAAGTATGTTACTACCAAAGACAAATTAGTCAGCCGTGCACCAGGCCAATGTACAGTACATGTTTTTCAGTACACAGAGTACAGTACATTCATCAGCAGAAAACTGCTCACAGAGCTTGGAAGCACCCCTCTTACAAACAATTCTTTATTCCTTGGTTTTTATGAGTGACTTACTTGTCGTTCATAAGCAATGAGTAATACACATGTTATTAACATGTTTCCATCATTATTTAAAATCAAAACATCAATAAAAATGGCTATGACGGTCAATCTGTATATTGTGCAATCTTAACACAGGACAATAAAAAAGGAAGTACAACACCTTCCTAATTTATTATTTAGTAAATATTAAATGTTGTTTTGTAAATGGAGTCAAAATCCAGTCTCTGTGACCTTTGTCTCTATAATCCCCTCATTCTACCCCTCCCCCAGCTGTTCCCCCTTCAAAATCAATGACATGTCCAAATTTATTTACTTTTAGAGATTAAAAGCATCTGATGTTCAGATTAAGAGAATTTGCCTAAGAAGGTGGTATGTAATAATGAGGTTTAGCATTTATATGGGAGAAAGTAAATTGCATAGTGGATAGTCAAGACTAGAACCCAGGAGTCTGGGGTTCAGATCACCACTCAGCCATGGAAACCTACTGCCTAGTGGCACCAGCAAAACCATTCCTCCTATATCTCACATCCCTTGGAAACCCTACCAGGGTTGTCGTAAGTCAAAATTGACTTGACAGCACGTAACATATAAAGACACAACACTTATATAATGCTTCAGGCAGTATTCATAGTTCTTTGATTTAAATGCTTGTAACAATGGAGGACAATGGCAGTGCTGTTATCCCCATTTTGCAGATGCAGGGCTGACAGCTAACAAAAGTGTTCCTTCTAAGCCCCCCACATGAATTTAGAGCAGATGTGAGACAAGATATTTTAATTCATAACTCAGTCTGTAAGATGCAAAAGTCTTCAAGGAACTTGAATGCTTATATTCTTGTATTTTGAAAAGTACAATTTCAAATCACTGGTAATCTTAACTTGACACCCTCCACAAATACTAGCAGAAACACACACACATACACAAAGTTCTTCCATTTGGCTCTTTTGAGAGGCCAAGAAGAGGCAACATTAAAAACACAGAATATTGCTTTCCCTGAGTGGGAAAGGGACAGTATATTATATTACATTAGCATTTTTAGAGAAAGAGAAATACTTTACCATCATCCAGATCATTTGGTGTACTCTGCTGGTACAACTGCCATGGGCTCTGAAACTGTGACATGGAGCTACCTGAGATCCAAAAAACAGAAAGGCAACAATTTAACGTCCAGCAGTTGTCAAGACTATTTCATTATCTCAGGATCTACCTGAGCTTGGGAATTTACTCTAGCTTTTAATGTCAGTCAATTGACGTAAGCAACATACATTAAAGGGGTGTGGCCTCTGGCAAATAATCCACCACACCCCTGTAGAATTAAAAAAAACCAGAAAGTGTCAGCTCAACGTTGCTTCCCAAGAATGTGCATCATCACGCCAGAGGTGATAATGCTAGGTGCTGATTGCATTACTCTCAGGGCACTACAACAGGAAATCTCAGTCATTTAACATAAATTTCAAGAAGAAATGCTGTTCACTGTCCATGTCTAGAGATTTTTCCTTCTCAATAAACTTGGCCCGATTAGACAGAAGGGTGATTGCCAATGAATGGAACCCTCTCTCCTTTGCATGATTTCTACGACAAACCTAAATAAAGTTGTTGTTCTTAAGGCATTTATAGTAAGAGAGGTGGCCTGGTGCTTAAAGGATTCTTCTACCTTTGCCTTAAACAATCTATCAAACTTATAGGCAGACAGAGAAAAATGGAACAGTATATATCACTCCTGTTTCAGATGTACTTCTGGGGTATGCTTGCTACAAGGGTAAGTTGAAGAATTTTGTCTGTTTGATTGCAGAAGTCAAAGAGCAGATGCTTTACACTTCAGTGGATTATCGTGCACGCAACTCATCTGCCCTCCACATACTCAACACAGAGATTCAATGTTGTAATGCACACTAAGTTACTAGCAAAGACCTTTCTCTTCAGGCAGGCTTTTCCTTAACGACTAGTGGTCCAAGAGGTGTTTTAAATGGACTGTTGTGCTCTGTTGTTTTAAATGTGTTTTAATATTGATCTCAGTTACCATTTTAATATAGTACGCTTGTTTAATTATTTTTTAAATATTTGCATACTTAATGTTTTAGCTTTTAAATATTGTTTTAGTGATGTAAGCCACTTTGGGTCCTTTTGGGGACAAGGACGGCATAGAAACATTATAAATAAATACAATATTAAATAACCTATCAATGAATGCTACTTTGGTAACTATGACAACACACATCAAAACCAGTGTGCTTTTACTGACTTTGTTTTACTGCAGCGGGGGAAGACATTTGTACTGAACTAGATTAGCAGATAAAGATTGTTTATAGTAACAAATATGTTGATGGAATATTTGTGAATGACAGGTCTCAAAGAGATTGTCACAGGAGCCAAGCATGCATGGATACCCAGACCAAACCCAGCCCTCCCTATAGTCCTGATCTCACACCTTGCAACTTTTGCTTCTCCGTAAACATGACATGGGATTTGAAAGGCAATTGTTATGAAGATGACAATGTGGTAAAGCAATGGATGAAGGACAGAGACTTGGAATACCTGACTGAAAAAATGAAGAAACCAGTTTTACTTTGGGAGACATGTATCGCTGTAGGTGGGATACTACAGTGGACCCTTGACTTATACACGGCTCCACCTGCGCACTTTTTGACTTACAGACTTCTCCGGCTGCAAAATTTCACTTCAACTTGCGGCCAGAGAATCAACCTATGGACCGGAAGGGGGAGGCGGGGAAAGCGCCAAATTCAGATTTGGCACTTTCCCCACCTGCCCCTTCCGGTCTGTAGGCCACCGATCGTGCCTCCAGACGGCCGATCGCGCCCTGCTCTGGAGGCGCAATCGGCGACAGCGGACAACTCCGAGAGGCCTCCCATGGCAGCAGAGAAGCCCTGGAAGGCCTCTGAAGGTCCCCCTCACCGCCAATCATGCCTCCGGAGGCTGTCCATCGCTGCCAGCTTTCCCAGGGTATACCAGCTCTACCAGGGGAGGGCTTCCCCTGGTAGGCCCAGTCTACCCACGGGGAAAGCCTGGTAGATCAAGCCTATCGGGGAAGCCCTCCCCTGGTAGCCCCTGTGTACTCTGGGAACGCCGCCAGCGGCGGCCGCAGACGTCCTCTGACAGGCCTCCCATGGCGGCGGAGAAGCCCTCGGAGGACTTTGGCAGCGGCGACAGCCAGGAACTCCCGTGAGGCCTCCAGCAGCGGCAGGGAAGCCCTCAGAGAGCAATGGACCGTCGACCTACGGACTTTTCGACCTGTGGCCACCGTTCCAATACGGATTAATTCCATAAGTCAAGGGTCCACTGTACCTGAAAAATGAAATACTACCTATATAAACGTGTCAAATTATCAGTGTCTACCTATATAAACATGTCAAATTATCAGTTGACAGGCAAGACTTTTCACCTCAGGCTTGTATAAAGCTCAAGGTCTGCAACTATACCAAAGCAGTTTGCCTGCAAGATCTGACAGACATCTTGTCTAGTTCTGTTCCTTTTGTAACCATCAACTCATTGTCACCAAGTGTATCTATTTCAACTAATAATAATAAAAAACACTATGGCATTTGGGAACCTGGAAAATGGCTCAGGGCTAAGAACTCTATAGCCTCTTTTTTTGTTTCAGCATGTTTTCTGGTTGTTTGTCCCCAGATAGGACAACAACAGCCTCTAGTCTTTCTTCTGTATTAAGATGCCAACATTTTCCAAAAGTAGTATACAGTATATAAAACAGTATATTTCTATAACAAAAGAATTCATGCACACAAATTACATGAGATTTTTCAGAGTTTCAGATAAATTAATACAGAAGATCCTAGTGGGAGATTCAGGACAGAGAATTCTTCACACAGCAAGTGTTAAAGCTATAGGATTTGCTACTGCGAGGACTAGTGACAGGCGCTAACCTGAATGAATGCAAAAATGGATTTGACAGATTCCTGGTAGACAAAGCTATCAGCAGCTCCTTGCCACTGTGCCTTCAGCATGAGACACCATATATCTCTGCATACCTGCTGCAAGGGAACAACAGGCCAAGGTGGCACCCACATTTTGGATGCAGGAAATCAGTAGGGTTCTGATCTGATTCAGAAGACCTTTTCTTATATTCTTTAGACCCTCTTTGCTTCTGCATATTTGCAAAAAGGCCTGTTATCACGTATACCTGTACCACCTCCAATATCTCCTTAGAAATATGGTGATGTATCGCTTCACATTCAGAGGTCCTTAAGCTCCACAAAATCATTGTCCTCTCATCTTCTGGAATTAAAACATCTTTGCTTGATTACTAGGCTGTTTAATACTTGGCAATTTTTAAATATAGGGTGTAGCAGCCATGTCTCACAATGGCTCCACAGACACCACCAGATATATTTAAATTTACTCCAAAAGCTAGCAAATGCAAAACTTGGCTCTCATTAAGTATGAGTCACAGATGATTCACTGGGTTCAAGAAAACTAAAAGTCACTAACAGAGATCTCAAAATCCAGGTCTGCTGTTCCAGGGCTAATACACTACCTGGCAGTTGGGTCAGATAAGAATGTCATAGATATTTTTATGTAAATTGTGGCCACTAGAGATGGGGGTATTCGTATTCATATACTGTATGAATATCTCCACAGAGGTGGAAATAACACGGGTTAGTGGAAATAACTGTCCATTCACAATTTTGCTGCTGCCGCCAGCTCCACAGAGGCTTCCTATCATGCTGTTGTCAGCAAATGATTACCCACTCCTGACAGGAGGCGGGATGACAAGCCTCTCTGCTAGGCTGCAGAGTGGCTAATCCATTGCGGAGAACAGCACAATAGGAAGCCTCCGCGGAGCCGGTGGCAGCAACGAAATCGTGAGTGGACAATCCAGTCCCATGGGGCCAGACCCTCATTATTTCCACCTGTGTGAGGATATTCGCATACAAATACCCCCATCTCTAGTGGACACCAGTAAAATAGCAGCCTTCTAGTTCACTACATCACCTTTAACAATTTCAGGCATCGGAACCTCACTCGTGGCAGAGTTTCAAGCACCTGTCAGTATATATTTGACCACAAAGCTAGTATCAGCTGAAGGCACAGATGCTTTCTGCCATTTACAGAAACACACTTCTTGGTAAGATCTGCAAGGGAACACTTGCAGTAACATGGGAAGCTGTAGCTGGTAAAGTATGTATCCTGTTCCCATTCACATTGCTATGGCTTGGAGTAAGCATTTGCAAAAGCCAATCTCTTTTTCCAGGAAGAGCAACTTCCACCAAAAACACCAATACAAAACTCATTTTTTGTTCTGGCATCTCCAACCACACTTTCCTTTCCCTTGTGCCACAAGCAGTCATTCTAGGTTCAAAACGGTTTCCTTAATAAGATTTTGCTGTATCATCGAAGACAAAACAGATTGCTTAAAAGATGCTGGAAAAGTTCTTTGGCCAAGGTGAAGACTCAAAATTCTATGAAGCCTAGTCTTGCTGGTTCTTTTTCTTCTGGTAACCAAATCTCTCCTACTGTTAAACAGGCTAAATCAGATATCTTATGAACACACTTTTTAAACAGATCACAATCTTTAAAAATTATAAAGAGAAGCTTATGTGTGACTTGCACGACACAAGGCTGTTTCTGAATCTCTGTCTAAAGCTGAGTCACACCTAAATCTTGACACCCAAGTGGCACCTCATAGCTTAAGGAAGAGTAGAGTCTGGGAGTGCAACTGGCAAGGCAACATACACAAAGAAGTTACAGGCACCATATTAACATGCACATAGCTATCACTCTCCACCTTCTGTTTTGCTGCTTTATCTTCAGACCAAGCCTTTCTAGACTCTGAATTTATTAGTTTAGTATCATGTTCTAATTACACAAGGGCAATTAAGATACCTAGATACATTCCCTATGATACATACAGAAATAATAAAAAGCCATACGGATTTTCCCTACACATTATAACTATGACTAATACCGCTTCCAGGGAATGTTCCTAAGATTGAAGTCGCCGTTCTGGCTGCCTGGGATTAAACTGTCTCCTTTGGAAATGGGACACACAGTTCCATTATAATATTAAAATTTCATTTCTCAATTGCTGACTAAATAAGTACCTGTGCAACATAACTATTTTATTAAATTTATGAGAATAGTCAAGGAACATATT